TCTGTGATGTAGCACCTTATACAGTCAATGAGAATGTATAATGAATACACGGTCTAAATAATATCGACGGTAATGCATAACATCAATTTATCTATTGTATTACTATTATTGCGTAGAATCTCAAAGATTTTCTCAATATTCATGTCTGAAATGTTTATATACTTGAAAACAACACTGTCTCGCTTCTGCCTGCACGTACTGTACCTCTGTATAATGAGAATACCGTGAAAATAATATCGGCACTCAATTGAATGCCTAGAATCAAGATATTCGACTCAATATTTACGTCTGAAATGTTTACACACTTGACTGCACTGTCTAGGCGGTCTAGCTCCTTCCTAGCTCTGTATAATGAATATACCGTCTAAATATTATCGGCACTTAATTGAACGCCCGTAATGCATAAGATCAATTCATATATTGCGTAGATTTTCAAAGATTTACTCAATATTCACGTCTGAAATCTTTATACATCTGAAAACAACACTGTCACCCCTTCCTAGCATATCGTCACGCCATCGTGATCTACGGCTTGATAGCGCATGCGCATTTGCGCTACTAAAGGAAAAATCGGGTGTTCCGGGGTAAAGATCCTTTACACAACATGAGAAGCGAATGTTCTAAAATTTACAAAAAATTACAATAACGAAAGCGATTCCTCGAAATTTTATGAACTTGGCAAAAGGATAACAGAATATGTAAATAAGTTAACTGAAATTGCCTAAATAACCTTCAAAGTACTGACTAAGTACAATAAATCACTACGAACATAAATCGTATACACCCCCCGGAAAGTTTACTCCCTGACTGACTGACTGATTCGTGTGAATTCGCCAGCCATCACAATAGTGTGAAGTGAAACTTCACACTAAAAATACAATACGCCCATGACAACGACCAGTTTTTGTATAAACCTAGATATAATGAATTTCATACAGTCTCCAAACCATGAATTCTGAAAGAGTACCATTTAAATAAAACGATTTGATTTCCACGTTAAATTTGCACTTCTTAATGAGCTCTCTTGTCAGTCACGTCTTTCAATGAAAAGTTCTCAGGATAGTGGGGAGGGTATATTGTTACATTTGGATAAGTAGAGAACAGAAACATTTTCACACAGAGTAAGATAATGATATTACTACATTTCTGCATACCTTGCAGATGAGGTGATCTAAATATTCTCCCCACATATCAGTGTAAGCTGTCACTTCAATAATACGTTCTTGAAAAGGAAGCAGTTCACCACAAGATGGTCGACAGACAAACGCTGCACCACGACCATCTCGTAGCAGAGAACGACAAAAATCTAAACAAAATAAAGAACAACACAATTCCATTGATATTCTTCATTAAACTTTGTTTATAGTGTAAACAGTTTTGAACAAACAACAATTATTTTTTAATATGTTGGGACAGATGCCGCAAATATCCACTATTTTAACAAACTTCGATCCCCTCCGACCCCTATTTATGGGGGGAGTGAGAGCAACAATTATGGATAATAAACTGGATATAATCTCGAACGGTCAGTGCGAGTGTATGTAGCGACGATAACATGTTCTCGATCACTTTCAAAAGTTGTTTGAACATCGTCAGTTGATCTATGCAATTTATTGAGACAGCTGTGGATTGACAGAGATACCCGAAAAATATAAACAGATCTTCGGCGTTTCGAGCAAAGACCCCTTCGTCGTGAAGTTATAGCAGAAGGGTCTTCGCTGGCAACGATCTGCTTAGTATTTTTCACGTAGTTGTATCCCTCTCAATCCGCGCTGTCTTCACCAAATTGCATAGATCAACCAGGGGTGGAAAAATATCGGACCACAGGACCATTGGGCCCAGAAAATGTTTTGAGCTCCCAGGAAATATTTCCCCAAGAAAGAAAAACAGATAATTGTAATAATTTAGACAAAAGGAGAAATTCAGAGCAAAAATTCTAACCAATAGAAAGAATGTTAGGTCTGTACTGTATATATGACCTCACAAATGCAATTATAAGTGCATCCATGCATCATGGTGCAATAGTGTATAAATCTATAGAATGTTGTATGGCAAATGAAAATTTTGCGCCCCCAGTGGTTCCCTTTTTTGGCATCTGTAAATTTGCCAAAGAATCAGACCCCTGGTGTATGTTATCTAACAAATTTGATTTATTAAGATTCTCAGTGCACTAAAATTATTTTTTTCTTTTAAAATATAGCGTGACATTCAGTTTGACAACTTGTTAGTTTACACAGTTACAACGCCCGAGTGTCAATTTACTTGATTACTCGCAAAAAATGTTTCAATGTTCTCTTGCGGTCCCAAAAAGTAAAATATTTTTTCCATCCCTGCAGGTCTCCAAACAACTTTTGAAAGTGATTGACAAGTTTTTATTGAAGTGGAACAAGAGCTAACCAAGCAACAGTGCGTCAGTCCGGAGCGAGGGCACTTCTTCCGTTCGGCTATTAATATCCAGGAAAAGGACAGCAAGCGGATTCAAAAGTTGAGTCTTACCTGCTTGTGCCTTTGTTGGCGTCTTACTTAAAGGATCAGCAATGTTTGGACTTCTCGCTAATATGCTATTTCCTCTAAAGAGAAACGAGTTGGTTTGAGGCAACGGGAAAAGTCGACACATGTCAAAGTTGAAGTCGAAGTTAAAAATTATATTGATTACACGTGTTGATGTCATGAAATTTAATTAACCATTGAATACCAGCACTCTCTCCGCTTGACGAGTAAATTGTCTGCAGTTAGACAAGGTACAAAATAACAAAGTAGGGCGTATTGGGGCGCAATGTAACTCAATGGGTAAAAGAACGGTTATATCAAATTTGAAAAGATGATATACGTTTACTTATCAAGAAATCTATTAAATCAAAATGCATGCATCTTCAAAATCCATTCCTTTTTTTCTTCAATTTCCTTCAAACAATAACTATACATCATACGTTGAAGCAACGTTAGGTAAAAATGCGGATACGGGTACATGCGGAGATGCGGACACGGACCTTTTAATATGTTTCGGTTTACAATATTAAGGAAGCATAGAGAATTAAGTGTTACGAACTGTTTCTGCGGCACATTCATATACTGTGATCAATTATAATGGGGAATGCTTAGCTGAAGTTTAGGAAATAAAAATGCTTTGGTAAGATGATTTCACAAATAATTAAGATGAGCGCGTAGCCTAATGTCCGCATATCCAGTGTGATAACACTATTTCTAAATATGAAGTACGTAATAAATTTGGACGAAAAGTGAAAATGTTAGACAAGCAAAAATATAATACAGTACAGTGTGTGTTCAGCTGATTTTGTGATCACATGTTAAAAAACCTTTAGTGCTAAACATACCGAATATTTCGCTTTCCAGAACCTTCTAGAAGAAACACAAACAATAAAACAATTTTTATACATTGGCAATGAAAGGAAGAACCATAGCACCACATACAAGTGGGTTATATAAACGTCTCCTACTGTAAATACTATAGGAATTAGTAATAACGTCATGTAACTACTCATCCAACTACCTTGAACATCCTGTAAATACTATATATAGTGAGAAAACACCGCTTTCGGTCTGTCTTGTTATGATTATGTCAATTTACCTGTTGGTGGAGTAGGTGTTCTAGCAGCACAAAAATATTCCACTGCAACGTTGAACTTTGTAGCTATTGCAGTTTTATTAGTGAGGATTACCAAAGCTTTTGGCGTTTCACCAAGACCAGTCTTTCCGTAGTTTAAACTAAGCTGGTTTTCATCTGCCTCTTTTGGAATATCTCTGTAAAATAAAGTAAAGTATCAATCTTGAGACGTTAAGCCGTGTTTACACTGTAAACCTCGGCCTAGCCTGAGTCTTGCTATGTTAGCCTACACTTTGTAAACAAACACTGGCCTAGCGGGGATGGGCCCAGATTTGTAGGCGTAGATCAGGGCTAGGCCCACTGTGATCGTTGGCCTTAATTGGTCTACATGGCCAAAGTGTATCACAATTACCTTGGCCCGGCCTTGGATAGATTACACAAACGAGAGCGTTCACCAACTCTTCTGACGAAGGGCCTTTCAGTTTCAACAATATATGACGGTAGTTATATAGCGACCGACGCTAACTGAAGCCCAAAGTTTTCAATCTTAAAGATTCTTGCCAAATTTACAAGTTTTCCTCGGAGTGGCAGGTAAACACTATACTTTACAGTCAATTCATACTCACATTTGATCTTCTGTGTGAACAGTTTCAGTTCTAAACGTAACCTCCAAGCCACGCACTGTTCCAGAAAATGATAAATATATGAACTTCTCCATTCCCTGTGCTTCACATACAGCAACAATATCATTTAAAGAACCTTCCCTTGATCCAGTAAATGATACAGTAAAAATCTTCCGTTCTCGTGGTCCAATTGTACAACTACTGGGTTGGAATTCCACTGAACAGAATTGTGAATCCTCTCCAAGACACTAGTAAATTTTTAAAAAAATTGCTCTTCGTATATTATTTTCCTACTTGTTTACCACTCATGGACATGTAAAATGCTTTCATAAGATGCAATTCCTATCATTCGCATGCATGATCATTCAATAAATTTGGTTTTGTATCGTGCAGACTAACGATCACCTAGTTTGTGTCATGAAATAGAAATAAACATCTCCACTTTAAAATTGTAAAAAAATGTATAGCAAAGAAAAAAGGACTACAAATTCTTGACTGCATGAGTATGTGACGTATGATAATACCAGGAATGTGGCTACATGCATCTTTCTGGGCAAATTCCGCTCAGGCGAAGAACTGACCTGTTTCCAGGAGATATTGGAAGACAACAAGGTTTTGTTCTCCAACACAATTTCCTTCACAACTGGCACATCAACATACACTTCTTCCAAGACAACGTTCGAGGACAGAATACATATTTCTGGGTTTTGAACTTCGGCCGTCGCTCGTATGTAACTATAAGTTATTGAAAATGTATAAGGATAACACAAAAAACAATGTATGCTCAGACATTGTGATAAAAGAAGCTCAAAGCTATCCAATATTTCTACAATCCTCCTTAGGAAATAAGAATTTAAACCTTGGTGGGTTCCCCAGGACATCACATTCGATCACACTCCTGACTCTTCTGCAGGTCAAAGGCGTGAAAACTACATGAACATCAACTTTCTGAAACGCTCCAAGTTCTCCATTCTGGGGACGAAATTGAAATTCCGAAGGCATTTCTTTGTATCCCTAAAAATACGCAGGTTTATAATGTACAAGATAGCCAATAAATAGATTTAAATATAAGGTTATGTAATCTGTGCGTGGATTTGTCGAAACTCCTAGCCTGCTTGAGTGTATTTCTGACTTCTGTGTTTGATTTCTATTCTTGTAAATTGATCGCTTTAATTAAGTTGGAATTTGAATAATTATGATGCCGTACTTTTTGAATGATAGAAGTTGTAACTGTATACTTTGAAAGATCGTTGTACGCATGATGTTTCATGTATGTGTGTAGTAGTTACGTGTTGGGTATGGTTCACTAAACTCGTATCTCTCTGGGACGACAATTTCTTTTCATGTTTGTACGAATATTGTGGTAATTTGTTGTTACAAAAAGTCAAAAACAGGAGAGTGGTTCACCCTAAGATCTAACTAAGTACAAGGAGCAAAATGTCAGCAAAATAAATATTTTGTTTTCAATCCAGGTTTCTTGTTTCTTAATTTACGTATTGTAATCCTCTGCATATTCGACATAAATCACGTGCATTCGGCATCATTCGACAATAATGCCCTGCATGGTTGTTTACATCTTCCAATTGAAGGACCACTATCCCCCAGAGAAAAAGGACGGGGCGGGGCTTAATTTGCTAAGGGCGTTTTGTATCAGGGCTATAAACCAGAATATTAGCTACCTCCTGAATAAAAAATATTGCCCTCAGAACTAACCTTGTCAATATTGATGAGATTATAAGGCAAAGCTTCTTTAAGGCACCAAACGGCAGCAACTTCAGAGAGATTTGTTATCGTTATAGTTTGAACAGCCGAACAGGAAAATCTCACTAAACCAAAATCAATATCTGCATTTTCCACTCTCACAAAAGGACCCTGAAAGTCATCAGAAGAACAAGAAACAATTATTGGATAAAGCTGAGCATGATATCAACACTTATCCAGACAATTACCTCGAAGTTTGCTTTCACGTGGACGTATATGGGTTCTGTTGAATAATTCACGTGACATTTCACTGTTGACGCAAAGTTCCCAGCTTGTATCCCGCATAGATTTAATTCCATGCTTTCTTCTTGGTCAATATCTATGGCAGATACAAACAAGTGTTAAAATAAGAATTCTACATATTTTTAAACATCAGTGCCTTATTGCAAGTGCAGTGAGACAACACAACCAATTCCCCTAACGTGAAAAAGTGCTAAAATATAAATAGAAGGCCCTAGATCCAGGTTGACAACGAACAATACTCAGTAGTGTTCACAAGCGAGCAGGGTTCGTAGTCTCCAAGACCAAAAATATTCAAAGACTTTCAAAGATTTTTTCTGCCTATTTTCAAAGACTTTTCAAAGACCTTTGAGAGCAATCAGCTGTCGAAAAATTGCGAGTGTATAAGCACCATTTTTGCCCAATAATTAGTCTCGCCACATCACATCTAAAAATGTACCTTTTCGTCGATATTTGCGAAAACCTTGCTTGCTCTTCAATCAATCTATTTTAGCTAGGGAATTGTATGATCAAATACTCACTAAAGAATTAATTTTAAAGACTTTTAAAGATTTCTTCACTTTTTCACACAATTCAAAGACTTTTCAAAGACCTTAAAGACCTGCATTCAAATTTAAAGACTTTCAAGGATTTCAAAGACCGCTACGAACCCTGTTTGGGCTTATAGCCTGCAAACTCGCAGCCGCTGCGAGCTGTTTCTCGACTATTAAAGATGGCGTTGATTGATGGATTGTATTGCGCGCTAGTGCGTCCTACTTTATTATTTTACTGTCTAACGCCAGACGATTTTAATCGCCAAGGGGAGAGTGCCGGCGCTCAATGGGTTAAACATGCCTGCATGTAGATCAGAGATTGGGTGCGTTGCAAATTTCGAGAACGAATGTCTCGTGTAACACTACAGTAACATAGCCGTAGTGAACACGTTCGATGGCTTAATGGTCGACATTTGTGAAATTGTGATAACATGTTTGTGTGCAGTAATGGTTTGTGAATGTTGTCCCCGGAGTGAAGAATTGGCTTTTATTTGCCCGCGGGTGGGGAATTGACAGTTCAGAAATAAAAAATCTGCAAATCCCGGGTGTAGGTTGTACAGGAACATGTATAATACCACAGAATAGATACAGGACCAGAAGTGTCACTCAGACGATATTTTGTCCGAAATTTTACGAGTGCTGACGTGAAAATACGCCATCATAAGACGCCATCCTGGAGTGCACACGGAAGTTTTTCATAGGAAAACATAGGTACAAAGTGCCGGGTGCACTCCAGGATGGCGTCATAGCACGCAAAAAAATTTCGGACGTTTTCCTTGAGCCAAAACACATAGGAGTGACACTTCTGGTCCGGTATCTATTCTGTGATAATACTATGCATAATATCGCCATCTTCCTAGCAAGTGTCGCTCGCGTGATTATTCGTCATTTGGTAATACGTCATTGCTTTCAAAAATGCTTTCAACACCTTTTCTACAACAACTACAACAACTTTACAACACTTTTTTACAACAACTTTAGACATTCAACAAATGATGGTCTTGATTGTTTAATCCATAAATTTCGATAAAAAAAGCCGCAATAAAATCCAAAAGTTCGTGTTTTTCAGGACGCCATTTTGCTAGCAAGTGTCATGGCGTGAGCATGACGTGTACATCTATAGGGAAATTTGAGGACACGTAGTCCTATTAAGTTACACATCTGGTATATACTTAATCTGTGATAATACTCTGGCTTACCAAGGCAACCTGACTTGGGCTGGATATCAATCACAGGTGATTTTTCCCATTCATACGATGTTTTTGATACACTATTATTCTTTATCTACAAAATAGGGATGACAGAAGACAATTTTTTAAGTTGAATTAATAACGTACGTTGTTGAGCGGGTCTGTTATCCATGCCATGTATAGTTTAATTTCTATACCATGGTCAAGGGATTTCGCCTTATTTGTAATACTTGCATCGTTTATATATAGAAAATAGTCGAAAATGAGTATATCTTCTTGGAGAATCACTTCATTATTATAAATTTGTTGGTTTTTAAAGTTAGGGGATATTATCAAGTCATATTAAAAATAACAAATCAGTTTGCTTTTGCTCACAGTACCATATTAATATTGACGTCATTGGGGAAACGTAATGACATATGTATATACACTGTTGTGATTTGATACTTCGCGAGTTCATCCTATATTTCACATCATATTGGTTGCATAGACTATTCTACTTTAGAATTTTGGTAGTTGATCGCAAACAAAGTCATCACATGAACATCGATTTATTTTATTCGTGGTTTATTCCTACGCATATGAAGCCCCCAGTGTAACAATGTTAACCCAACTGTACGTTACCTTAATACGAAATTTATACATCTTTCTCACTAAACGTTTCCCTGGTATCAACAGAAGAGGCGGATCAACCATAATTTGGAAAGGCTGGATAAAGAACAATATAAAATTAACTCATATGCATGTTTTATGAATAGTTACACCTATCCTCAAATATCTTTTTCACGTAATTGGATCTTCACTGCAGAACCAAACATTGAAAATTGTTTCATAGTGGAATATGAATGCAAAGAATACAAAATAGAAACTACTGGCTCTACTCTACTTTGAAGTCAAGTACTCTGAAATATAGTTATATGAAATATTCTGAAATATTTCAAATCCGAAATGCGCAGTTTTCATTAATAAATAAATGCACAAAACACTTTCTTGGTTTCGCTGCGACGAACAATAAAAAATTATGGTTACACTTTTATGGTACCAGACATGCAGAAATCCGAAAACAATATCCATAAAACCAAGAAATTCTCGGTTGCTGATGAATCGTTGGGACTGCTGATGAACCGTTGGGATCAACTGCGTGTGCTCAGCAAGTTTAAAGTGAGTCGTCATCAGATCGTCATCCAATCAGATGCATGCATCTGGTAACTTGCCGAGCATGCGCACCAAAAAGTCGGTACACTAGTTACAACTCTGTATGTCTCTCCTCTGTGACTGGACACATCAAAATGCGGTATACATTCATGGGGTCAAAACATAATCGAATCCCCCTCCTTAATTCTCTCCGCCATGGTGTTGAACGTCATTCCACACGAATATTCTTTCAGGTGTAATCTTACCTTAGACGACATCTTGAACTCAACTTTCATTGAAGTTACGTCTTCTTCCTGTGGTATGTTTCCTGTCGAGTTCAACACTGGAACTTTTTCCAACACAAGATGAGCCACGCTGTGAAAGTCATCAACCTTAAAAATTAAACAGGACTTAACAAGTTAGCCAAAAACACATGCAGTTTCACATCGCCAATTTATTATGACATGGATGACTATTTACGACCTTCATAGATTTTGGACGTCAATTCCGCCATCTTGGCTTCACTTTTCTCACAGGCCGAACGAGTGACGTTCTTGTTCCAGATATATATAGAGATCTCACTGATGTAAACTCGGGTTGTTTAACGTACCCATTGAACTAAAATATATGGAACGCTACCTTAACTGAACATGCCCAGACTTGCCTGAAGCCAAATTTTACCTCCAGACACGCGTGTCTGGAGGTAAAATTCACGCGCGTTGTCGCGTTTCCTGCGTGGCGCCGAAGAACAGCGACAGCCAACCAACATGCATTTATAGCAACATGTGATTGAAAAGGTTTTGAAAAGGAAGGCACTCTCTTGTTATGGAGCTAATCGGTTAAATTTTCATTCAATACAGCATGAATCATAACTTTTCATACGTGTATTCGATCGGTAAATCGGGGAAATGAAACATTTTTTCGTTCAAATTGAATGTGTACACAAACGACATGGATATTTCAGAGATTCAGAGTGGCATTGTAAAGTTGTAAACACGTAAGTGCCTTTACTAAATTTATTAAATATGCATGAAGCTCAATCGCATCTGCAACAGAGTAACTGAAATTGTATGTGATTTGAGGACAGTTTGTTTGCCAGGTTCAATCCTTCTTGTTCTTGAATATTCTGAAGCTCTTCGATATGTTTCCATCTTATGATGTTGCCATCTCCATCAATGGGCCATTCCATTTATTAAATATAGCCGGGCACCCCCCTATTGAGGGGTCCCTTCCAAATCCCCTTAGGATATAAACATTTTAGAACCCCCTTGGATGTGATTTTTGGAAGTTACCCCATGGATATCTTTATACCCCCTTTAGGATATCGTTTTTACCCCCTTGGATATCACTAAAACACCTAATTTTTGCTATTTTTTTTAAAAATTTTAGGTAAAAACCCCCTCCCGCATAGGATATCCAGACCCCTCAATAGGGGGGTGCCTATATTAAATGGAATGGCCCATTATAAAGGATCCTATGGACAGGGTCGAGTATCACAAAAACATCTTTGGTTGTTGGATTCTTAAAAGTTACCAGAAAATTTGCAACCCAGTGTTTTGAATGTACTAATGTTAACATCTGTGCCATCAGCTGTTACTGACCACATTTTTAGATTAGCATTTGCAACTTTTTCAAGACACTTTTTACCAGTGTGGCTTGGTCCTTTGCATTCATTTTATCAGCCAAGAGGTATCCCACTGGGCATTTACAATGACTTCTGGTGCCTACCAGAAGAAAAACCAAAGCTTCTGTGGCCAATTTTTCTAAATGTCCATTAGGAATCTCATTTCCAAAGTCTACAAATCCATAGGAGTCTTTTTCTGGATTCCAAATGGTTTGTTTTCGGATAGACATTGCGTCTATTACCAAACAGTAATCTTTGTCAGTATTTGATTGGGCTCGGCTGATAATGCTTACCTCAACCTTCTGAGAAAGGGATGAGAATGCCTCATCAATAAAGCCTGGATGTAATTTTGTGTAATTCATCACTTGAGGCACATCTTGGTCTTTTTTTCTGAAATTGAAGGATCATTTTCATGTGCTGGACATGGTCTCACGGTCTGTTCTTCTGTTTAATTCCTCGTCATGTGCTGTTAATGTTGGTGGGTCAGAATGTACAGGTGAACCAGATGGAAAAGCATATTTTTTGAGTCGACATGTGTTGTTGGATGAAGGAGGCAAGTTGTAATCAGTTGATTGGAAATGCTTGCTGCCTATACGACTGTCCTGGTTGACTTGCCATGGCTTTTTATTAACTTTTTTGAACATAATTCTCCCAACATATTTGTAAAGCATTATTTTTCAAAGGAAATCCATAACAATAATAATAATTTTTATGTAAATTCAGCTTTAATTCACTTAATTATCACCCTTCTGTCTGTCTGCTTGTCTTATTTATTCTTGTGTTTGTTTTTTTTTGTAGGTGATGTACACATGTCAAAAGTCAAAATGTGTAAAATAGGCTTGTTTTTGTTATATTTTCTTTGAAGTATCTAATATCACAGGTTTATGTTTTTTTTTTGTTGTTTTTTTTCTGTGTTGGTGTTGTGTACTCAGGTGAATATGATATTTGTGATGTTACTCTGAGTGTATATCCACACGGGCCGAGCTTGAAAAATATGCCCAGCCACGGAGGAATTTGAACCTACGACCTTTGGAATACTAGCTCAATGCTCTTCCAACTGAGCTACGCGGTCAGGGCGGTTCGAGTAAGTGATATTTAGGAACTGAATCTAGTTCCTTCGATACCAATGTATTCTAGTAATATGATTTTTTTTTGGCTAGTATTCCAAAGGTCGTAGGTTCGAATCCCACCATGGCCGGGCATATTTTTCAAGCTCGCCCGGTGTGGATATACACTCAGAGTAACATCACAAATATCAGGTTTATGTTTGTTTTTTTTGTGTATAATTAAGCCCAAACTAAGAAATATTGTTGCAGAAACATTAGTGATTCTCGATGTTTCCTCAAATGTTTTCCCATTTGCCCACCTGTGGAAACATTGTTGCAGAAACAATTTTGCTTCTTGGGAAACAAGAATGTTTCCTACCAGGTTCAGACTAAGATTACAGTTGCGGAAACATTGTTTCTCCGTTTGCCCACCTTGGCCGGCTTGGGAACATTGGCAGGAAACAATGTGGATTTTTAGTAAAGTAAACAAAGGATAAATAAATACCTGTGAAATGTGAATTTTTAGTAAAGTAAACAAGAAATAAATAAATACCTGTGAAATGTGAATTTTTAGTGAAGTAAAATGAATAAATAAATACTTATAATAATAAATAAATAATAATATACTATCTATTTCTTCTTATTCCTCATTCATGGCTCATAAGGGTTGTTATCGTCATGTTTAAAGGTCGGTCAAAAGTACGTATGAAAGATTTTTATTTTTCCACACTCGGGGACAAAACTAGGTTTAACTTTGCATTCTGCTCACCTGGCATTTCGAAAAACAAAACAAATAACGTAAGTGTAAATTTTAAATAAAAACTAGGCATAGTTTTCATGAATTTCATTAAAAAAGACAAAGTTTATTCAATAAAAAACATCTTTCGGCAGCGACATGATTGCATTTTCAAGGATATTTTTTAAAACAATTTATAAAATCAAATTTAAATGCTTGTGTTTTGGCCGCGCGTATTTATCGCGAGGAAAGACTTGGTTCTAACCGGAAATCGCGGCTTCAAACTTCCGGCTGCAGGTAGCGTTCCATATATTTTAGTTCAATGAACGTACCTCGATTGGTGATGACGTCACTTCAAACTCGAAACTGGCATCAGGTTGGAATTTTCCAGAGCTTGGACTAATGCTGTACACGGAATGTTTATCAATAGCCTGGGACTCTTGTCTGTTCTTATCATTCTCTGTTTCTTTCATGCAAGGTTTCATTATTTTCCACTTGAAAGGTAGAGGTACATTGCTGCAAGAAACATTCAAGTGTGTTTATATAACTTCATATGGTTTCTAAGAGAAAAGTCTGCAGATTTTGAGATGCGAAAGAATACGAAGTTGTAGTGAAAACCTAATTTGTGGGTCGAATCACTTGCTGAAAATTCCTTCCTGACTGTCCCGACCGGGAATCGAAGTCTTCAGTTTAACATACAAGTTATCGGACTATACTGACACTTCCGACTTAAGGAAATTTTCCATTGCAGTCGCTTTGCCCGCGCGGGCGGAGCGGGCTTTGAAAATCTGCTCACGCGGGCGTGACGGGCTTCAAAAAACAATGAACGCTCCGCCCGCGCGGGCAAAGAGACTGCAATGGAAAATGGCCTTTAAACACACAGAAATATTATATATGTATACAGGATATCTAATCCACATATACGAGTTTTATAGAAGTACTGCATGCTTGTTGTCCACATGCAGCAGAATGGCCGGGATATGACTGTAGAAATCATGTTAGCATATACTCCGGCGGTGGATAGTGCTTTTCACGCAATCTGATTGGTTGCTCAGCTCCGGATACCCTTGCACTATTCGCTTCAGAACAATACAAAATGGCTGTCGTTTTGTTCCGGTTATAGACGAGCAAATTTTTCTGCTAAACGAAGCTGCGGTTTCGCCAAACACTGTTCAACAGTGTGTAGAGGTATTCTTTAATTAATTAAAGTTATTTCCGATGAATAAAATTACCAAAAGCGTGTAAATACTGCTTTGTTTCACCTATTACGGAAGCTGAAATACAAAATTAATTTAAAAATTTGGTCATTTATTTTTGTTATGGAATATGCTAAAACTATTCAACCTCCATGACGGTGAATAGTGCAAGGATATTCACCGAAGGGAAGATGGCTGTGAATCGCATTAGAATAACAATATAACTCATTATCTATGTTGGTCAATGTTTATTCATAAATCTGGTCCTTCATCGTGTATATTGTATTTTTGCCCAACTAAACAATAGGAATGTTTCAGGAAAGTTACCTATTTGTGACTCGAACAATTGGGAAATTGCTATTGGTGGATTTGGCAAAAATACACACGTGACGGTGAAGGACCAGATTTATGAATAAACGTTGACAAACATATAGATAATGAGCTATATTGTTATTCTAATGAGTTTCACAGCCATCTTCCCTTCGATAGGCTATGGTCTACTTCGGTGAATAATTGTTTGACTGAATATCCCGCGTTGAGTGTGTTGTACATATACTGTATTCGTATGTACGTACAGTATCCCAATCGGCCATCCCATGCAGTAACACCTGGTCAGAGCTTTGGCACCTTAAACCACAAAACCTTGAGAATTCTATCCCGTGTTGTTCAGCATCAACTGTATAACTTCAGTGTGCAAAACGTATTACAAACCTCATATTTTTCAACACCAGTTTCTTTTTTGCTGTTGTACACGGGTTTTGATCAGAAAATCGAACAAGATGATTGGCAGACGGATCGCAACTTTCGCCAATCACAGCCTGACTAACTCCTCCATCTATTGACATAAACTGAACTCTTGCAGTCTGTCCAACACCTTTAAAAGTTGCGTGCACAAGTTAATACACAAAAGGAATCGCCACAGAATGCTGTACTGTCATTTTTTTAGTACACAGTAAATAAACTGCAGTAGAATTAAGTGGATTTACTAGGAGATACTATATCGCAAGGAAAATGTTCGACGCACTTAATCAGGCAAAAGACTGCGCACATGGCTGCAGGAAGTAGGAAGCAGTGGAGCGACGCTACCTCCAAAGTCTATAAAGGGCTAACTCCAAACCAAAATATACACTTGAGTAACTTGTGTAATTCAAAACTGAGTTGAAATATGAATTGTGGAGTTACTGGCTAACTTCAAAAATCATTTGGAGCTAAGTACAACTCCAAATATCATGAAAAAGCTAGATACTGTATCTAAGCCTACAGACTAAGCCTCGAGTTTCGGATTTTCCATTGGAAGCCCCTAGCGGCACACTTGGCATTTCGTTCAGAGATTAAATTTTGATCTGCAGTTGCGGCGCAACCCATTCTCGTACCCCTCGACCCTTGTCATGCTGTTGACCACGTGTTTGATGGGCTCTGGCTACGAGAATGTGGCAAAGCCTAGCTCCATTTGAAGATTGGCTACCTCTACAAAAATAAAATCTACAGGTATGACTGCGCATACATTGGGCTATTTAGTGTTAACGTTGTTTAAAGCGCCGAAAAGGCCACAAAAGGGGATGCCAATGCTTTCCCCTCCTGAAATGCGCGCTTAAACGCTCGTGGCCTTGATGAATTATTGAAAATTGAACAAATGTAGTTTACATGACATTGTATTTACTCTTAAAAGAATGCAATTTAGTCCAGATAGATTAGATAGTCAGATAAGTACATTTTCCGTCTCTATTTCCGTTCGCTAACTAGGATGCAAACGTCCGGGCATACGACCTAAGTTGAGGTTCGAAACAATAGATAGGTCGCGCAAAAGACTGGGTATCAGTGGACTGTGGAGAAACGCAAGCATTGTCAAGATAGTACATAATTATATACTCATTAGACAACTGTGGTGTGAAGGATATACAACCATCTGAAAAATATATGTTTTGCACGATGTTTCATTTAGTTTTGCTTATATTTTCAGGTATAGTTGCATATCCATCACACCGTCTATATCTACACTGGCGCCGACCGAGATTTTACTACAGGAACAGTGTAATAGAGAGCATACGGAATATAATGGGCCAGCACCACAGTGCATTGCAGTAGAGTAGAGTAGAGTAGAGTAGAGTAGAGTAGAGTACAGGAACTAATACACTATTCGGTGCAATACAATGAAGCACACTGGAATGCAATAAAATACAATGTAACAAGGCAAGTACATGATAGAAATACATACCCTGTATTGTGAATTGTTTCACTTGACAATTATCACAGGTCATGAAAATTTCGTGTTTGTAATATTTTGCACTCAAGGGTTGGAATGTCAACTAAATTCAAAGAAACATAAAAAAAATCATGATTTCTTTAATTAAGCCTGGTTCACACTAGCAATTTTGTCGGCGATTTTGTGCTTCTGACGGATGCAAATGAGTGAACTCGCACACACAAAAGTATAGAGTCGCTTTTCAGAAGTAAACAATTCTGAGTCTTTTGCATGTCATTCATTCGATCACATTTGCCAAGAGGAGAAAAATCGCCGACAGAATGGCTAGTGTGAACCAGGCTTTACTCTACAGACAAAATGTTTTGAAAAATAATTATCACGATGCACTGTATATTAAGGTCAGGATTAATGGGGAAGGGGGGGGGGGGCAGTGTAGATTATATTTATTAGAACTACCTGAAAATTAGTTCAAACACTTATAATTATCTATTTCAAGAAGTTTAAAGAACACTATATATCTATACAGTAGCTTAAAGGAAAAGTGTAATGAAATATTAATCATTACCTGAAGTTCGATCTCCTCTCCTTCAAGCAGTTGAAACATCGCTGGTTGCATGCAGAAAGGCTCCAACGTCAAGAAACCTGGGCTACTCAGACTCCACTATACAAATATTATACATATATTACCACCACGTTTATAAAAGTAAGGTTTGTTTAAAGTGTATGAACGAGCATGGAAATATGGCTACCAGAATGCCTATTCCCCAAGTAGGTGAGTTGTCCAAAAATGTGATTTGGGCGGCAAAGGACATAAATATGAGTTAGCTTAGTAACTGGAACGGTCTGTGCCAGCGTGGCAGCGTTGGTAGTGACAATAACACCAGCAGAAAGCTGCGAATGGACCTATTCCCTAATGAACAAAATTTTGATCTAGATAAGTCTACCTTTTTCAGAAAGCAGTATCAATTTGCCGTGCGTATAATACAAAATGACTGAAAAACGGCAAATTTCGCAGGGCTATATTATCCGCATTTTACAACATTTCGCAACGAAACTTCGGAATATTACTAATTTTGTGATGCTCTTTCAAGCTGTGGTGAATTGTTTCGCAGAGGAGCCGGAGAATTGGGGAATATCGAATATTCCAGCACCTCTGATTGTTTGTCCAGACTTCAATATCTAGATCAAAATTTTGTTCATTTGGGAATAGGTCCATTGAGAGGGATTCAACTACCTGAAAAATACAAGCAAAACATCGACCTTTCGAGCGAAGGCCCTTCGTCGAGCCATCGTCGAATGCCCTTTAGCTTAGTAAGTCTACATTAAATAATGTATTCCTTCCGTATTACTTTTCCATGATGCAGATAACTTATATTGGCTGTAAATCTGTTTTCTACATATTAATTAACAATTATTCGCCGAAGGCGAGGTGATTATCGGTGAATAAAAACCGAGACGAAGTCGAGGTTTTTATTCACGATAATCACCGAGCCTGAGGTAATAATTGTTTTAGTATAATTTCATAGGTGATTATTTGGAAAAAAATAAGAAAATACACATTTCTTCGTCATTTAATTGACAAAAAGGCTCCGCCATTTTGAAAATCGCTTAGGTGATTATCGCGTAATAATCACCTCAACGGTAACCAATCAGCGTGGAGAATTTTCAATAATCACCTATGTAATTATACTAATGAAGGTTATTGAGAGCAGTCTTATTAATTAAAGAACTGTCGTTCGAGAAATTTCATCGGGGATTGTATACCTTCCATGTCGTTGTTGGCCATTCAGATTCATGCAGGATGCAAAATCGTCCAGGACCACCAACATTCAGACACTTGAATGATACAGTTTTGTTACCACCAACTAAGCAGTATCCACAGTCAAGTATTGTAGGTACTGAAAGCAGAGGATAAGATAACATTTACTGACTTATTAGTACTCACATGAATGCATGGGTTTAAACTAACTTTCTCTTTTGTATTGCAGTCACATATTACAAGTTAGTTGCTGCATCTCTTGTACTATTAGAGAGGTTCAGATTTCACTTCCATGACTACCGCTACATCTCACTGGCTGATTACACATTTGATTGGTTAATCGGGTAGATTAAACGCATCTGATTGGTTCATGCTAGCAGTAGTTCAAAATCTGAACCTCTCTAATATTTAGGAAGCGATGTGATAAAGTCCACCACCAGCGTGACTGGTCAGATTCGAGTTCTTTGTACGACATAAAGAACGTTTTCCATTACGGTCGCTTTGCCCGCGCGAGACGAGCGAACATTTTTGAACATGTGCTGAAGCTGTCCAGCTTGACATTTTCCAGTTCCCTAACTTCCCTTCAGCCCTCGCGTGCACACCATGAAAGTTGAACTACACACAAAAATCTCACATGTTACGTGACTTCGTAATATAATTAGTGACGTAATAATATAATTTGTCATGTAACAATGACAATAAATGTAAAAATTAAATTACGGACGTTGCAATAAAATTAGTGACGACATAATTTAATTAGTGACGTAATAATATAATTAGTCTCACATCCAACTTTCTTGGGTTGCACGCGCGACTAATTAAACATCACGTGAAACCTGGAAAAAGACCAAGCATTGGAAAACACAGAACGGCGAACGGGGATAGTGTTTATTAATATTTCGAACGATAACTGGTAAACGTAAGTTGCACGGAAATAATGTCTTCACGTGAAATCCTAATTCTGTTGGGTCAAGAAAGTGCAAAGGAACGACAGCGGTAGCACCTGAGGCTCCGTTCACAGATCATCTGATGAATATGAAATGGTACCCATATTTGCACGATCCGCCCTTGCATTCACACAGGTCGCATAAACTGATCGAATTCGAAACAACATTTAATGCCTGTAAAACCTGACGAATTTGCATGATATATTATGGTTGTAAATTCATTCGCTCTCGTGTGAAAATAACCTGAATTATTATATATCAATAGTCAAAGTCGCATTTTTCTAGTGTTTTATTGGTTGAGAGCATATCACGTGAGAGTGACGAAATTAGGCTGTCTCCCTCGCAACAGCGTGAGAGGGAGATAACACGTTATCGACCGGCGAATAACGAAAAAAAATCACGTGCGCCATCACGTGAAGATGCGACCTTTGGACATGCCTAGTACGTAATTAAAACTTTCGCTTTAAGTAACTGCAGTGTAGCCAGTGTTTAATATAACGTTTTAACAATAAAATATTTCAAGTATTTACGTTCATTTGTTCTTTAATTTGTTGTTTCTTTGACTATTGATATATAATAAAACACTTATTTACTGAGACCTCGGGAAAGCAGTGTGTTTTGTGGACCCTCGACCGTCGATGTTTCATGAAACATCGACGGTCTCGGGTCCACAAAACACACTGTTTCCTTCGGTCTCAGTAAATAAGTGATAATTGGCCACTGGTGTACATGAAATGACAATGCATGAAAAGCACCACATCGATCAACACAAACGAAATAGAGATAATAATGTTATTCTGTATAAATTCTATATTCTGCAGTAACATATACTACACATATAGCGAATTTACAACCCATACAACACATAATGAATTTATTAATGACTTTACTTTCAACCTACTTGTTAATTGAGGTGGCTTGCGTTTTCCAAGTAGTGCTATGTCTAAAGTATCATCCAGCTGCGTACGTATCTGTAAGGTATTTTTGGACTATTAACCAACTGATGTATATTGAATTTACTTTAACTAGGTTATCTCCTTTGGTTTCTCCCACGTAGCCTAATAATAGAGACCTTATAAGATTGGCGTTTAACGGCAGACCGTTAACCGCAAACTTCAAGTCGTATTTTGAGGTCAACTGTTAGCTGTTGGAAGTAGATAGATATTTCAGAGCACACTCCCTATCAGGGCTTTTCAGTGACCGGTTACATTATGAATAGATAGATAGAACCGGACTGACGTGAAGCAGACCGAGGTAGACCTTGAGCTTACAAATGGCGCTTGAGCAGCCACTATTAGTCCATACCTCATTAATGATCTGCCTCCAGACCTATGTGTGCCTAAACCACCCTGTCAACTTTCCCTGTGGGAGGAAACACGGAGTACCCGGAGAAAACCCACGACTTTCGGCAGAGCGTTGACTTCTACTCTTTTCACATGAGGACTTGGTTCGAGTCACATTGAGAAGTTCTCACTGAGATTTGAACCTGCGGCCTTAGAGGTGAAAGGCAAGTGCCACAAGTGATCCTGGTACTACATACTAAACGGACAATTTTATGATGACAAAAAGTTAGTGACGTATCGTCCAAGTACTACCAACAGTATCCGGTTATTATCCGGTATACTACTATTCGGCACCATTCGGTATCCACTACAATCCAGCAATAAAGGAATACCGAATGGTTTTCCGTGCAGGATAGCGTGATCCAGGATAGCGTGATTTGACGCTTTCCGAAAGTGGAGAAACATCCCAAGTGCATGGATCACGCTATCCTGCACGAAAAGACCATTCGGTAATTGTTTTATAAAATAACTACAGTGAAACAATGGTCAAGTTAATTCACTCTCTGTAGGTATTGTAAACCTTTGTTCACTGTTTTGGTGAACTTGCCGCTCGTTTAATATACTGATATTGTTTATTTCACGCATTGAAAAGTTTTCGTTGTCCGACATTTTGAAAACCCCGCGGAAGGCATTTAAAATTTTCCGTGCAGGATTATCTCATCTTGCACGGGTGTTGCCCAATCAGATTGCGTGTTTCACTGTAGTTATTATATAAAGCAGTACCTGGCACATCTCTAATGAATTAACTGTCGAAGACTTGTAGAATTTACCTTCAAATCTGATTGAAGTTTGCGGTTAGCCGTAAACGTCAATCTTAAAGTTTCTAATTTCTGAAAACCATGCATCCGACGTTTCGAGCAAAGTTTGTGGAGTGGTTCAGATTTGACTACTGCTCCTACCTCTCAATGGCCCTGTACGCATCTGATTGGTTAAGCGGGTAAATTAAACGTATTTGATTAGATCTGGTTGCGTTATAGTAGAAGGGTATCTTGGTGGATTAGTTTACTTCATATTTTCTGGCCAATAGATCCATACGATCAAGAATCGGCGAGATGCAACATAATTGTTGCTGTGACCGTTGTATAACAAAATACAAAAATCTTGCGAGATTCGACGTTTGGAGAATATGTTTACCTGTATTTTATCAACATAGTCAGTCAAGGAATCAGGTGCGAACTTCACAGCAAATTGACAGCTCATGCCTGGAGCTACGATTCCTTGTTCACCAGGGTATTGACCTGGTGGAGATAAATCCATCATCAGTGGAAAATTAAACTCACTACAAATAACATGCAAGCATTTAACTTGTCCCAGATTTGAGTATAATAATATACGAAAAACTGCTTTTCGATTATGATGTCACATTTCACAATAATCCAAATTTAAACTCTTTCCAGCATCATTATGAAAAACAAAACTATCCTTCAGAAGAGCAGACTTAGGCCCCAGGTACACAATACCGGATTCGTATCGGAGCGACATCAATTTAAGGTGTTTTCCAGTCTTGTCTGCTCTTATACAACTTTTCAGATTTGAAGATTTTGTTTAATTATGTTATATTAACATAATTTTAAGTGCCAAATTCACCTCGAAGCAGTAAAATTGATGTCGCTCCGATGCGAATTCTGTATCGTGTATCTGGGGCCTAAGACTACCGCCGTCACTTTTGCCGTAACAATTTGAGCACGGTTTAGGGTTTCTAAACGGAGCGAGATGAAAACGGAGCGCTTGGCGGCTTCGTGTGAACACACACGGCGTTACTTTTTCGTACCGCTTGCAAACCAAGCACCTCGGGTCTCAAAACAGTAAATTCGAATGCTTTTTGTTTAAATTTCTTTACGCTATTTGAAATATTTTGGGTTTATACGTGAGTGGGTTTATACGAGAGTAATTTGTAAACAAACTGCAACGTAGTGTGAACACACGTAAATTCGTGTACACGAAAATGCGTTGTATTTCGCTCCGGTGAGTGTGAACGTAGTCTAAAAGCAACCTCGTCTCCACGGCTTTTGTCAAGTAAAATCTGTAAACTGTACATGAAAACGTCACTCGTGTTCGTTTCGTTTTCAAATTTGCACTCGAAACATGCATACCTTATCGAATTCAAAATATACTCTTGCATACTTACCTAATCCAATTGAGAAGAACTTGGTGGCTGGTGGAAGAACACGAATTTGACGAGATGATGAAGACACGTTCTTTAGTTCCAGTTTTATCTTAAAAGATTACAAGATTCGGATCAGATTGTTATCTTCACCTTAAATCAATATACTGTATATAAGATTAAAGGCTGATTTCCACTGTTGCGTTTTTCATACGTACGTATACGCACGTAAAACTTTAAATCCGTTTTGAATGTTACTTAATAAATAACCAAATAAATAAAGCAACAGAATTTATTGTTCCGCAAGTTTTAGTATGCATTTGTTAAATGATTTGTAAAATATTTAAAAAATAGAAGGATTCAAAGTTTTACGTGCGTGTACGTGCGTACAAAAAAACGCAACAGTGGAAATCAACCTTAAGTTATATTCTTTTGTACTCAGAAACCAAGAATGATAATGGTATACGGTACACCTTTTCGATAATTACGTCACGAATACATTCTTGGCCTGGGAGCCTCGCTCTCATGAATCAAGACGGAAGGTGATTGGCTCACGATTCATGAAAATGAGGCGCCTGGGCCCTGACTCGTCCCCAGTCGTGCGCGCTTTCCAATTCGCACGTGCTCACAGAGACGACTGGGGACGAGTCAGGCCTGGGCCAAGAACGTATTCATGACGTAATTATCGAAAAGGTGTATTAATATCACATGGAACATGATAATGATGATATTTCACTCAGAGAAAATCTATATATAGGGTCATGCAGTCTTCAAAGAGAAATTAACAGGAATGGATTTATTGGGAGTGTCAGACTAGTGTCTTGCTTCCGTAACTTCATCTAGTGATACGCACTTGGTCAACGGTCGCACCCTAAAGCATGACGAAAGCTCTGCGAGAACCTGCCCCCCTCGGCCCTCTCCCACCAGATCTGGCTAGATCCATTCCTGGAAATTAAAACTGGGAAGTACATTTACAGTGAAAATACAAAAAGTGTCCCACTTCCGCTTCTGTAGTTTGTTGTGATTTACTGAAATTTGTTCTGTTTTTCTGTAGCGATTACCGATTTATCGGCAAATACGGCGATAAAACTTAGTTTTTTCTATTTTTAAATATGATAATTTGTAGCAAAGGGAAATAATACATTTTTCGTTAGTTACATTGCATAAAAGGAACGAAATTTAAATTTTATCGCAGTATTTGCCGATAAATCGGTAATCGCTACAGAAAAACAGAACAAATTACAGTAAATCACAACAAACTACAGAAGCGGAAGTGGGACACTTTTTGTATTTTCACTGTAACGATCAACTTTCAATTAACTGTTAAACATGTAAACACAACTTGGAAAGATACTCATGGTATATATGACTGGGAGGGAAAATATACAACAAACCTCGTACACTTCTCCAACTTCATATTCTCTGAAAACCACTGGAGATGGTGAAGGAATAAGGACATCAGATGGTTTAAAGGACGGTGCACTAATATACAACAAATAGGGAACAAGTGTTTATTATACTGTGTACATGATCCGTGACAGGAAAATGCGAAAATAGTTAAAATTAAAAATCTACACTACACTGCCGAGGCTGATGTTTTACGGAGTTGAATGCCAAACGATGCGGAAAAAGAAGACATAAAGAGATGGACAGGGGTGCCAGAACTGAGATAGACCCTAGGGGGTTCGCTGAAGGTAAGGAGTGAAGAGATCAGGAGGTGTGGGAAGGTGTAGAGAAGATGAGAAAGCTGAGATCGTATGAACACGTAATAAGATGAGATGAAGAAGGTGGTTAGATACTATGGAACAAACCGATCAGAACATTTAGAACGGTCTGCATGCAGAGAAGGGAAGACAGGCTGAAATGGCATACACAGTAAGAAGCATAGATTAGGGGTGCACCGGAACCAGTTTTTTAAGTTCCGGCCGGAACCGGATCCGACCGGAACTGGAAAAAAGTTCCGGCCGGAAGTTCCGGCCGAAACCGGAACTAATTTATTAAGCCATATATAGTCATATGTTACTTTGTCCGCTGCCAGACAGGCAGACACTTCAAGTCATAAAGGAGAGAGCTCGCAAATGTTAGAATAAAAAGATTGACAAGCGTTAAACGTCATAATGAAGTGTTAATAGTGTACATTTCCCTTGCGTAGTCCAAATTTCTTCCTACTGTGACCTTTTGTTAGACACAAAAACGTTTGATATTTTTCCCCCCGGAAACAACAGAGTTCCGGTTCCGGCCATGCTTTTTTTACTAGTTCCGGCCGGAACCGGAACTCTAAAAAAATGTTTTATATTTGTTTTATAATATAGCACAAAGAAACATAAAGAAATAAATTTTCCAACGTTTCCGTGTTGACATCGAGTTATATCAACACGGCTCTAAGCCAATCAGCGTTCAGAATTTACAAATGCTATATTATAATATAATATATTTAGGAAATCAGGTTCAAAAACTCATTAATAATTCATGAAGCAATTATCCAATCTTGAGTAAGAAATTAGTCACGTGCATACGTCTTTATACCAGCTAAAGAACACTTTAACAAAAGACCATTGTTATGCAAACTATATAAAGATTTTTATATAGAGATTTTTATATAAAGATTTGACTTATTATGCAAACGTTTTTGAAGCCATTTAAAAAACTCGCAGGTCGTGTTTTATTAGGTCTAAAGCCACTCGCGCTGCGCGCTCGTGGCTTTAAACCTAATAAAACACTCCTGCTCGTTTTTTAAATAGTACATAACATACATTACAAAATACAACGCAGCAATACCTGGTACTAGGTTGCTCCTTAGTTGGTATCTTTTTGGACTTATTTTTGTCAGTTTTAATCAAAGTTGGGTACGAATTAGGCGGAATATTACGTGGATTGCGAAGATATTCGACTTTAGCATTCAGTCTTTGTAAATCAGTCCTTTCCCGGTGTCTTTGACCTGGTTTAATTGAATCTCGCCACGAGGATGTTACTCTAGATCTCGCCTAAAAATACAATTTCAAATTATAGATTTCAATACAATACAGTGAACGTTTGCTTATTAATTCTTAATTCAACTAGTTTTTGAAGCACGCATTTTGATTTGGGAGCTAGCCCCTAAGGCTATGGAGGTGGCTTCATTTCATGATGCAGTCATGATTGGATAAGATAAGAAAGGTAACCAAGAATTACACCTGTATATGTTCGAAGCACTTGTCAACCCCCCACTTGGTATCAGCTTCCAGCGGATATTGGATTCTCTGTATTTCAGGTGATCTGTGTATACAGTCGAAACTGTATTAAGAGGCACCCCATTAAGCGGTCACCTTTTATCAAGCAGTCATTTGGGTCCGGAAAATTTCATAAATAATGTAAATGCTATATTAAGCGGAAGCGGGCACCTTTCGCACAGTCCCAAACATGATTTTTCATTGTTCTGTAACTGTATTAAGATTTGAGAAAAAAGATTCGAGAAAAAAAGAGAATTCGTTTGTTGAATTTCAGTCTATATAAAGGGATCATCTTTCCATGCACATTGTTTAAAATAATACTTGCGTATACTCACGCTCTTTGATACTCTAAATGAAGATTTCTCTTCCGTAGACTGTGGAGATTCAGCAGTAAATGGAAATGTCATTGCTTCTACAGATTCTTCCATATAGTTATCTGGGATACGGTCTTTGTTAGTGTGGAGGAGAGATGACGTTGTCGGTCGAGCATAACTTGGAACTGCAGTCCCTGTTAACATAACGCACAAATTACAAGCTATTTGACAATCCTTTGGCATGCATTTGCTTCTTGTTAGCATTACAAGTTATAGAATCCATGTCTTACACTCGAAACGTCGGAAACGACCCAAGACCAAGGATTGTTTATTCTACACCATACCCTGTGATATGCAAGCTTAACGATCTTGGCGATTCTCTATTTTGCATTAATAGCTAAATTTGAATCATTCATCGGCGTTTCAGCTACATGCACTATAGTCACAGGTCTTGGCTATACGCAAAGCCCGTTTGTGATTTTGGTGTTAACCCATTGGGCACCAGCGCTCTCTCCTTGACGAAAAAAATCGTCCCGCGTTAGACAGAATAAGATTAGGGCACAATGCAACCTAACGGGTTAAGATACACTCTGGGATAAGAGGATGGGTAAGGATATATGATTTAAGTTGGGAAAAGATTGATAAATTGATATTTGTGTAAGCAAACTACGCACTGATAATCTGATAGTTTGTCTCAAGTGGGGAATTCGTCAGTTTGCCGTGAATTATCAGAGGAACTCTTTTCTTTGTATTATGAAGAGCCATTAAAAGCATACCTTGCGGAGGATGCGTAGATTGATATTCAGTTGAGACATAGTCATCAGGAGTGATCAAGTTGAACTTCTTTAATAACGCTACATCCATCATGTATCGCAGGTAAGATTTCACTGAAAATATTGATTGACATGATACATCACAATGAACATACTGCCACAATAAAAGGGTTAGTAAGGGTGGAAATACTCTAACGAAAAAAGTCGATAGGTGGCCTATGGGAAATGTTCCTATTCCCTATAGAGGCCTTTAGGCACCTATAGAGCTCTATAGGCTTTTAGTATAAATTTCCATGTGACTATTGATTTTTCTGCATTCTGATTGGTCAAGATTCACTGTCTCTGAAGTGATAGTCACTGGTCAGTGACTATAGCTTTTTTTTCAAAATGGCTGCTCGTTTTGCCGTAGTAATAGAAGAGGAAATTGCCAAAATTAAAGAAGATAGCATTCCGAAAAAACCCAAACAAGCTACAAAATATGGTTTAAAAATATTTCAAGGTAAAATATTTAACTTTACGTGCTTTTATATTTGGAAAAAAACTGGCTTAGTCGCAACGCGACATAGAGCCGTGTCTGAGATTTAAATTTTGTAAACAAACTATTTATAGTGAAAATAAATTTATTTGAAGTGAATTATTATAAAGTTGTGTGGATTATTGTTTGTAAACACCTGGAAATTTATACTAAAACAATAGACCTTTCCCCTTATAACCAAAATTTTGATCTAGGCAAGTCTAGACAAATATTTCATCACAGCTTGAAAGAGTATCACAAAATTAGTAATATTCCAAAGTTTCGTTGCGCAATGTTGTAAAATGAGGAAAATAGAGCCTTGCGAAGTTTGCAATTTTCAGTCATTTTGCATTACAAACGGGAAATTGCAGCCCCAACACCCGAATCGGATGTCAATTTCCCGTTTGTAATACAAAATGACTGAAAAATGGCAAACTTCGCAAGGCTATATTATCCGCATTTTACAAGATTTTGCAACGAAACTTTGGAATATTACTAATTTTGTGATGCTCTTTCAAGCTGTGATGAAATTTTTGTCTAGATCGAAATTTTAGTTATAAGGGGAAAGGTCCATTAGTCGCCTCAGGCTCGGTGATTACAAGCCTATATTCACTTCGCCTTCGGCTCAGTGAATATAGGCTTGTAATCACCTCGCCTTCGGCGACTAATTGTTAAATAGGCAACCCTATAGAAAATGTTCCAATTGCTTATAAAAACCTATAGGTTTCCTATAGAAACCTATAGACCCATTGCACTGACATCACAAATCCTTAGAGTGTCCTCCAGATGCTCCCTAACAATAGGGAGCTTTAGCAGCGAGTACGAGTACGACTACGAGTACGAGATTTAATCGCGTGCGAGGAAATCACTGTAGACGTTCTCGTTTCCGTTCAAATGTTGCTTGTATAGTAGTAAACAAACAACGAAAGAAAAGTTCATATAAACTAAATCTCCTGCAGGCTAAAATCCGCTACAAAATGTGCAAATAAATCATAACATTAAAAACAAGCCAGATATTTAGTACTAATAGATTATTTTTCCCGGATAAACGCTACAAATTATTTTTGAAAAACAAAAAAAAGCCAACTTTCTTTGTTTTTTGAAAAGTCGTCGTGAGGACTACGAGATTTCTCCACAATTTCGTCCTCAGATTGGCGACGGCTACGACTTTTTCGCGTCAGTACGCGATGGCGTAAGCATACAGCATGCGTTTCACTTCACGAATCTCGCACTCGTAGTCGCTGCTAAAGCTCCCTTAAAATATCTGTTCGGGTACAACAATCACATACAGCGCAAAAATTAACCATTTTAATACGAAATTATTATAAAGTTTTACAAAATTTGCTTTGTTTACAAATTAAAGTTATATTATGCATAGATTGCTAATTTGTCCTCCAGATGCATCGTCACCGGCGCTGTGACGTCATGTGCAATGGGTCTATAGGTTGGCCTAGGGGTAGACCTATAATCAGCCAACAAATACATGTTTATGCCTGTTGCACCTTGTTTATGCACATTACTTAATAACATCAGAACATTCTCGGGAACAGTAATAGTTTTATTCATCTGATACTTAATAAACTAGAGCAAACTGTATTGTCTAATTAAAATACTTACAGTTATGTGTGCGGTCCTACTAAATATTGCCCGGAACGCCCGAGAGCGCCCAGGGATATATATAAAAAAACCCAATATTATCAATTTCCCAAACATATATATGTTAGGTATGTTATTTATGCGTAATATAAGCTTCAATTAAATGTAAAATCCAACCACAAGCAAAAGCAAACTTTTAATACCTGGTGGTAATCCCAATGACTCGTAATTGCTACATTCTTCAGAAGCTCGTTGTAATTCCTGTTCTTCTGCAGCAGTCGCAGCTGCACGTGCTTGCATAATATGTGTTTCAAGCATGGATAACTCATCTAGCTGTCGCTGTCTTTCTGACTGGATCTATACAAGTCAAGGCGCATGTATTGTCTTCAACAGTCTTGGCTATTGAGCCTCGTTTTCGTGTATCTGACATTAGTCAAAGCCATGGACACGAGGTGCTCAGTCATGGAAACGAGGCTCTATAGTCAAGGTGACATACTTTCCGGAAGTGTGTATTATGTTATACACCGTTACACAAATCACTGTTGTTTAAAAAAATCATTTATTATTTAATAATTCACGAGGAAAATACAAAAGATTATGTGAACGTTTAATCAATGTCTGTAAATCAGATAAAGATTTGTCCTGATTTACATAAACTTCAGCTTTGGTTTTCTCGGCTTAGCCGATCTGTATCTGATATCGCAAAGAGTGCAATGGAATGTATTCCATTGCAATCTTGGGAAAAGGAATTTTCTATTCAATATCACATGACCATGATAAACAGCCAATTAAACAATCAGAATTCAATAAGGCATTACAGTAATAAAAGTATAATATATGAATATAATAATATTTAATACTATGTCAAATTGCATGATATTGCTCATCATGTAACATGTTTTGGAACGAAACAATCTACAAGTGGACAAACTACAAGATTTAGTGTCTGTTACAGTCATGTGAATATAGAAGCGTTCCGAAAAATGTTGACCAGTTCATTTCCTAACTTCGAGGAGTTCCCCTGAACAATTCCTCAACAATTTGATAAGTTTTTTAAAAACTTCCTAACTTCCTGATTCATTGACCAATCAGATTGCTCAAAATAAAATTTGATTGGTCAATGAAACAGGAAGTTAGGAACTTTTTAAATAAATTTTCAAAATTTTAAGGAATTGTTCAGAGGTGTTCCCTCAGGCTAGGAAATGAACTGGTCGACATTTTTCAGAACACTTCTATTGGCACGACTGTAATTGTTGCTGTTAGAACGTGTCTGTGGATAATTAATAAAGGGTATATGTTAAGTGTCCATATTCCTAGAGTTTTCAGTCCGGTATACATGAATTAATACAGGGTTTTTTTCAGGGATTTTTTAGGGCCGTTAAACGGCCCCAAAAACTCAATCTTGAATTGAGTTTTGAAACTCAATTTTCTCACCAACGTTTCAGTGCAGTAAAGATGAAGTTGTTTGAGTTAAATTCGTGACGTGTGGAAATTAGTTTTCAGTTGGAAACCCGACAATTAAGAAAAAATGGCTGGAATTCATCTTAGAAAGTTACAACACAAGAAAAACTATGCATTCACCATTTTTAACTAGTTTATAATAGTGTCCCTCAGCTCATCCCTCAGTGCCCCTGCTTTAACACATTCCGTCTCAACTACATTTATTGAGTACAAGTGTCAGCCCCCGGAAGGGGGAGGGGGTGCAGCCACCCCAGCTGTTCAGCTAAACTCAATTTTCTCTGCAAAAACGGACCCAAGAGAAAATCCTGAAAAAACCCTGTTAATACAATGTATACCAGGGTACTTTACAGTTTACCATACCAAGTACTGCAAGTATTAGATGACATATATTCTGATGGCAAATTTTTCCATTCTTTTATGGCATGCTCTGATAGGATAATAAGATATGTATATAATAATTCACCATAAATTTGCCAGAAACAATAGCTTGCTGTCGAGGCCCTACCTTTAATACATGCTGAATATAGCCCAGTGTGGAAAGTTTGTATTCCGCAGAATCTCCGGCACGCAATTTCCAAACTTTCCAGTCAGGAATATAGCCAAATTTAGTTTGTGAAACAAGAGATTTGACTGGTCCGCAATGGGGGAGGGAGTCAGAGCCATCGCAGAACAAGTCTGCGCAACAGGACAAAATCTATAATTTGTCAACCATTCCTAAATGTATAAAAATTCCACTCGAAATTTCCATACCATTATTACTGCATGACCATGACCCTGCAAGAATTTGTACCCACAAGCTAGGTTTTAAAACAAATAATTCTTTACCATGCAAAAATTCAAATATTTATTAAAATATAGTGCTATATATTGTAGTTGACAGTACAAATTATTTGCATCAGAGCCAGACAAAAATCCGGACCCCAAAGGGCCAAACTGAGTGCAAGCACATTTATTAAATTTTTATAACAAATTGTCAAATTTATATATACATATATTGTATAAAGCACGAAGCAGACACCTTTTTACCTTTGCTAATCTCTCTACATATTCTTCGTGATAACGTTCCTCTCCACTTCTTGAAATAGTCAAGTTCTTTACGGTCTGTTCGCCAACACTTTCTCTTGTAAGGTCCCGAAATACACGCGCCAAAACATGTGAAATGTCTTGTGAACTACCCAATGAGGGGCGCTGAAGGAACATTGGAGGTTCACAATTTTTATCGTTTACACGTTCCATGTCGAAAAGACAAGAAACTAAGAAATATTCATAGTTTACCCCTTTGTTATAACTTTTCCCAACGCAAATCTACCGCCATTTTACTTATATGTTGCCATAGTAACAATCAAGTTGTGACAGTCTGTGAGCTCAACATATTACTGGAGTCGTCATGCCTGTGTTGTGGTATAGTCTATCTCGTGGGGTTTTGATTTTGATTGATTTTGTGAGGTTTTACAGGAGCTCCGACAGGAGTGATAAGTGAAATTTTATGCTGAAATGTTGATATGATGCTTGTGATGTTACTCTGAGTGTATATCCACAGACAAGCTTGAAAAATATGCCTGTCCACGGTGGGAATCGAACCTACGACCTTTGGAATACTAGCCACCAATGCTCTTCGGTTCGAGTATGTGATACTCGAACCGACCTTGAACCGACCGGATCACATACTCGAACCGACCTGACCGCGTAGCTCAGTTGGAAGAGCATTGGGCTAGTATTCCAAAGGTCGTAGGTTCGATTCCCACCGTGGTCAGGACAGGCATATTTTTCAAGCTTACCCGGTGACAGGTGTGGATATACACTCAGAGTAACATCACAAGCGTCATGCTCATATAATTTGGCCTTTTACTGACTTTTAATTATTACCCACTAAGGAAATATAAAAAGAAACAAATTCCGAATAATAATGCCATCTTGAAGAGAAACTGAATTTTCAAATTTATTTCAAAGACCGAGTGAAATACAATACTTTAGATAGAGCATATGAGAGCAAGAGAGCACACGTCACCAGAAGGAAAGATGAAGGTAGCGTGGTTGGGCTCTCTTTCTTTTCATCTCACGAACGTTTGAAATTGTGAATTTTCAACTTTATTACAAAGCGGGCTTTCTGGCATCCTTGTGTAGAAAAGTAGGACAAAAGTAGGACTAAAATTTTAGGAAAAGTAGGAATAAAGTAGGAAAATGTGTAGAAAAGTAGGACAAAAGTAGGAGTTTTGGAGATTCAAATAACACAAAAATATACAAAATTGGCCCCCTAGGATATATGTGGTAAGGGGTAAACATTTGACATTAGATATCTGATGGGGAAGTTGTGTGAATTTTTGGTGCTCAATAGTTTTATGTACTCATTCATCTATGCAGGATTTTTTTCTCAAAACTCTTAAATTGCATCGGTATAAAAGCTAAGGCATCTGCTCCGCAGCAACACAATTCAAATGCATGTATTAGGCTACACAATGCACCAATCCACACTGCGGCAGGAGCACATATCAGGACCGTAGGAAGCTCTTTTCGATTGGGGGAGGGCTGAAAGCGAGGGCCATAGGCCCGAGGAAATTTTTAAAGTTACAGTCTCTGAAATGCCATTTACTGGACTTTGGGGAAGATTTGACAGAATTCTAATGGTCAGAAAACAGCGTTTTAGTATGTCGAAATTTACAATTTAGTAGTACTAAATGGGCGAAGGCGTATTTAATTAACTATATATTGGATAAGTTGCTGGAAAGTATGGGTAATATCTTCATTCTTTGCAGTTTCTCATGGATTAAATGATAAAGGTCTGCATGATTTTGAAAAAAAAAGGATTATTAACAAATTATTGGGTGGCTGCAGCCCCCCGGTTGCTACAGCCCTGTATATATGATGCTTGATTAACTGGGGGAGGGGGGGAGGAGTTGAATATTTGGAATCTCTAGATCGTCGGAAATGCACTTTCAAAGTCTTCATTAATTTATTGATTATGATTCTAGAGATGCTATGAAATTTTATACTTGGAAAATGTACTTCTTCTCCTCCTGAGATCTTATCATTTGGGACACAAATAGGGAATAAAAATTACGAGTCCTATAGATCTAATTACGAGAGCTATAACATACTGATTCCCCAAGCTGTCTTAAAAAAGTAGGATTTTATGAGAAAAAGTAGGAAAATCAAGCAATTTTTAATAAAAAATAGGAAAAGTAGGAAAGTTGAAGAAAAGTAGGAAAAAGTAGGAAAAGTAGGATGGCAAGAAAGCCTGAC